CCTTTATTAGCGGTAGTAACGATGAATAGAATAGATAAGCCTAGGCTACGGTATCTACGACAAGTATGCCTATGATCATAACGTTCCTTATTTGTGTTTTAGTCGCAAATGTTTGTGCTGTTGTTGTTTTGCTGTGAAATTATTAAGAAAAAATAATTATGTGTTCTTGATTTTTTTATTCATATATTTTATTTAGTTTAATTTTGATGCCAAAATTGGCGTTCCATACAATATCGCCTAAAGTCAAGTGGCGCAGTGCAAAAGTCAAGTGGCGCAGTGCAGAAGTCAAGTGGCGCAGTGCAGAAGTCAAGTGACACAATGCAAAATTTAAGTAGCAGCACACGCATTTGGATTTGCACTGCGCCACTTTCATTTTGCACTGCGATTGTTGTTTGTCCTTTTCGCGATATCACGCCAAAAGGACAAACTACAATGGCAGTGCAAAAGTCAAGTGGCACAGTGCAAAACTAAAGTGGCACAGTGCAAAACTAAAGTGGCGCAGTGCAAACCTAAAGTGGCGCAGTGCAAAATTCAAGTAGCAGCACATGCATTTGGATTTGCACTGCGCCACTTTCGTTTTGCACTGCGCCACTTTCGTTTTGGACTGCGCCACTTTAGTTTTGCACTGCGCCACTTTCGTTTTGCACTGCGATTGTTGTTTGTCCTTTTCGCGATTTCACGCCAAAAGGACAAACTACAATGGCAGTGCAAAAGTCAAGTGGCACAGTGCAAATCCAAATGCGTGTGCTGCTACTTGAATTTTGCACTGCGCCACTTTAGTTTGCACTGCGCCACTTTCGTTTTGCACTGCGCCACTTTAGTTTTGCACTGTGCCACTTTAGTTTTGCACTGTGCCACTTGAATTTTGCACTGCACCACTTGTAATTTGTCCTTTTGGCGTTCCATATAAACCAGCCAGATTCCTATCCTGGTAACAGTTAAAAGTCCTTGCTTAAAGTAATGAACATGTAGCTCGCTTCAATTCTACGTAAAATTCTACAAGAAAAGAAACTATTCATACTTTCTGAAGCAATACTTTTCAATAATTTTACATATTTAATAATGGTTGATAATAAGTGTTTTATGAATATTATGTATTTTTCTTCAATTCAGCATTTTTTTATGGTAGTTTGACGCGTTTTTCATGAGTATTGCTGTAGAATATAAATTCTGTCCATGGTTTAAAGATGATTTGACCCTTGGCTGATTCGGTCCTACACCCTAATCCATTCCAGGGCCAAAAATATCTCAAGGAAACCAGAAATAATTCATGGGCCAATATACTGTCAATCTTTCAAGTTTCTAACCATATCAATATTTTTAACCAATACAAATCATTTCCTTGTTCATTGTCAATATTTATTGGTCAGCCAGTAGGCCCACAGCGGAAATTGGTATCATAGGAAGTGAAATATATATTATGATATTGTGTGAACTTAGGCCATTGGCAGTCACTAGGTAATCCGTAAAGATGAGATCCAGCACTTCGCTCTATACGCTGCTTTTAGTGTTTTACTTACAAGGTATAAATAGCGAGGATGCTACAATCACAGAAAGCAAACGTTTGTTAGGATTGTTTCAATTATATCAAACAGAACCTATGTACTTAGTATATGTTCTTGATAGTTCGGGTAACGTTACTGAACCCGGGTTTAAGAATGAAGTAGACTTTGTAGACCAATCGTCTAAGTTTTTTCCAGTGTCTAATAAACACACGAGACTCGCTGTCGTAACTTATTCCAGTAAAACTGACATATATACCCCAATAGACTATATCAACCATCAGCAGAGTTTTGCCAAAAACATCCAAATGGAAGAAAATAAAAATTAAATTTTATTGGTGAATGTAAACAGTGTTTGGTAATGGGATGGTTAAATGTTTTAGATTTATATAATTTAGAAAAAATATGCCTATCTTATTTTCAAGGCAGCAATAGGCGTAATAAAAGTGCAATTTCTATTTTATATTGGTGGCGGGTACGCTAACTGGATAAAAATAATATTTTATTTTTATTTGAAATCATTATTAGCGGGTGGTGGGGTTTGCTAAACAAAGTATAAAAAAGTCGCGCCGTAATTCCAGTAACACCATCCCATATTGCAACTCCTTGATTATAGACGTTACAAAGCTGGGCACACTCAACATCGTACAACCGACGAAACCTCTTTGCTCTCGGTGAGCACTTGGCAATGTGATGCTGTCTGCCGTTGTGCACATCCTGTAATGTTTTCCATGGAATTATGTTGAATACATTCTACATAATCTTTGTTGAATATATTATATAAAGTTCATAACTTTATAACCTAAATTATGCAAGCTATAAAAAAGAATTATATAGTTTCCAGAAAAAAAATATTGCTAGAACAATGAATAACAAGAGATATGTTGACATATAATTTTATTCAGATTATATATTAAAAAGTCTGTAATATATACCAATTTTATTAATATTTTATAAGCTTAATTCATTAAATGAATGTTGCTGATAAACATCATTCATAACGTTAAATGTCATATATTTTATGGAATACACTACAGTTTGTGAACACATTCATATTCTGAAATACTACTGAAGTGTATTAATAGTACTGTATTAAATCTGTCTCTTATACACATCTAGATGTGTATAAGAGACAGGTCCACCTCAGCCCCATCATGATTGGGCTTAGGTAAGAAAATTTATGATTATGGCACCTGTAGTTGGCCGGAAATGGCACTTTCCAGACTAAATTTGAATATAATATTCATTTTTCTCCACTTTTAAATTTTGAAAAAAATAAATTGGGAGTGTGGGCCGGCTGGGCCGGCTGGGCCCATTGAATCTGCCAGTGAAATTCTAATCATAAAAATTTTTTTCAAATTATCCTGGTAATCATATGCCCGCTTATATATTTCGTGCAAATTAAAAATAATGATTTATTATCTACTGATTAGCTTGTGACGTATTCCAACCATGAAAAACAAATAAGATAAACTTAACACAGTCATTAATTTATCAATTTAGTCTCTTTGCATACACAGTACATTAAAAACAATAAAGGCTTTTTCTTTTCCCTGTTTTTTTTTGTTTCACTTTTGTGGAAGTAGCATTGCGACTACACTATTGTGAGTGGAAATACTACCATTTAATATACGTTCAAACAGGACTAGGGAGATAGGAAGCACACACAACATTAGTTAGCATTTTGATTTCACAAACATAAATGTGATTTACTTAATTTATCATTTGGCATATCAGTGGCGGATCCAGGAAAGTGAAATAGAGGGGTGACAGTTTGGGAAAGTAAACCACCTCAGCCCACCATGGTCGGGGCTGTGGTAAGAAAATTTATGATTATAACACCTCTAGATGGCACATTCAGACCTAAATTCTAATTATAATTTTCCTTCTTTTCCTTATTTTTTAGTGGGTGGGTAGTGGGGGGGGGGGCGCGAGTCGGCAGTCCCACTTGAATCCGCTACTGATTATTACCGGTATGACATCATTGCGAGATTGCGTCAACGTCACACTGGAGTTTGTACACTTTTGGTATCACTACTTAAATGATTCGAAATAGATGGACCTGTCCGTGTCAGAGGCTATATAATTATTGTTTAATAACGGCTTTATAAAATTAATTGACTAACTATAATTTTTTGAAATTAGGAATATGTAGGCCTATGCAGATAATATTAAACTCAGTAGTATAGGAATAAATCGTTTATAGTAGAAATTGTGCATTTTGAGCAAAAATATTGGCCTAGTAGGTTTACATGCTTCCAATTTTAACAACGTACCGGTACAGTACATTGTTTTCACAATAAATTTAGCCTCTGATAACCGTTGCAACCATAAAATCGAGCGGTTACTGTAGTATCCCAAAATTAACCCAAATTTAGGCCAATCTACACAAATCAGTTGAAATCTGCTTCTTTCTCATTTTTTCGCAAAATAAGTTTAATTTTGGGTTACTATATTGGTTGCGAAATGTACAAACAATTGCGTTTTACTCGGTTTTGGTCCAGAAATACGCACCGCACTTGGTGAACAGACAAAATTCATGACAATCATGCGTAATTGTTATTCTTTCCATTCGCTTTGAAAAGGGAGGTTGATGGGGGGTGGGGGTGGACGTGTCCTCTGTTCCCCATTGATAGGCGCTCATGGGCGCATGATTTGTCTGACGTAATACTAAAAACTGCGACTACTGTTGTATTGTCAAAATGAAAACTATACACTTGTTGGTCAGCCCATTGCTCAACTGCTAATGCAAGGGGAACTATTTCTTAACATGAATATGGAAAACCCCATTCCCATAGTTCTACCCCAGTAGTTAATAGTAGGAAGGTAATCGCGCTAAGCACTCAGCGGGTGGTCGACCGTTCGAGCAAGCGTATGGAACGCCAAAAGGACAAATTACAAGTGGCGCAGTGCAAAAGTCAAGTGGCACAGTGCAAAACTAAAGCGGCGCAGTGCAAATACAAATGCGTGTGCTGCTACTTGAATTTTGCACTGCGCCACTTTAGTTTTGCACTGTGCCACTTGACTTTTGCACTGCGATTGTAGTTTGTCCTTTTGGCGTGATATCGCGAAAAGGACAAACAACAATCGCAGTGCGAAACGAAAGCGGCGCAGTGCAAATCCAAATGCGTGTGGTGCCACTTGACTTCTGCACTGCGCCACTTGACTTCCGCACCGCGCCACCTGACTTTTGCACTGCGCCACTTGACTTTAGACGATATTGTATGGAACGCCAATTTTGGCATCAAAATTAAACTAAATAAAATAAATGAATAAAAAAATCAAGAACACATAATTCAATTTTTCTTAATAATTTTACAGCAAAACATCAACAGCACAAAAATTTGGGACTAAAACACAAATAGGAACGTTATGATCATAAGCATACTTGTCGTAGATACCGTAGCCTAGGCTTATCTATTCTATTCATCGTTACTACCGCTAATAAAGGCCTATAGCATAGTTGTCAGCCATGGCTACTAGAGAAAGATTAGAAGCTTTGGTAGTGATGGGTTATACAAATAAACAAATTGCTGAAGAAATGGAGGTAAGCGTAAGCACCATAAAAAGCCTCGGGCGTAATTTCCCATTAAGAAAGAGTGACCTTTCGAGTGATATCAGCGGTAAAAACCGAAAAAAAAATCTGTTGCGTTTTGTTTCTACATCATTGCTAGGCTAGTCGGGGTAGACTACTTATAGTTAGGCTATGCTGGGATCGACGCAACCGACAGGGTAGCTAGTTAGGAAGATCGATTCAATAACATGCATTTTCACATTGTATTATTACAGCTCAGATTGACATTTTCAGCATTTAAATTTATTAATTAGACCAATAATATATACAGTAATAATTTTTTTGGCAAATCAAAAAATTAAATGACACAGAATTGTTTTTTGACTCAAGTAGATTTCTTCCTCTTTTTCCTGTTTACATTTTGACAGAATGTAAAATATACGGTTTTAAAGATTTTTTTAAACATTTTTCATAAATACAATTTCAATATAAATGAATATGATATTAATTTTATTGTGGTCTTACTGTGCGACAGCGATTTCTGATATTTATATATTGAAAAATAAATACTGTTTAGGCATTTTAATTATTCATATTACTGTGGCCTTTAATAATAATATAATGATAATAATAATAATAATAATATAATGATAATAATTATAATAATAATAATAATAATAATAATAATAATAGTTCATTCTTATGTAGCGTAATTTACCTGTAGGCCTATAAGTTATTACAACTGTACTTTAATTGTTATCAGTAATTACAATCAACCGCGGCTGAATTTTACAAAAATGATATATTTTTATCTTTTTTTCAATATTATTATTATTATTGTTATTATTATTATTATTATTATTATTATTATTATTATTATTGATAATAATAATTATAATAATAATAATTATTATTATATTATTATTAAAGGCCACAGTAATTTATTGGCGTGTGTGCGTATAATAAGTATGTATTGGCATGTAATACGTATAAAAACATGTAAATGTAAAGAAGACAAGTAGAGGCCCAAAAAGGAAATTGATAGAAAAATAAATCGAATGTAACATTATTTTAATAGAAAAAGAAGCCCAATAAATCCAAAGAAGTTGAAAACATAAACAGGCTTGATTTAGGCTCACGGTGCAGTGACACTTTGCATGCTGCAACAATATACTTTGTGCGGGTGCGTTTTTTAAGTTATACGAGTAACACTTTATTATTTGAGCTATATTTATTCAAACTTCAGTGTTCTTCACAACAAACATACATAGCAGCAACAAGGATGTTGCGTATGGGTTTAAAGGTAGGCCTATCAAAACAGCAGAAAAATGGCATTAAATAAATAAATAAAAATAAGAATACAGAAAAATACGAGACGTACGGTATTCCGTCATCAAAAATATCAAGTTTATTCTATAGACAACATTTAATGACCAAGGTGAAGGGACACAAGACTATACGTACGGTACTGTACCAACACTCAATATCACATCCTCATTAAATTCATTAGTATTAAATATTAACCTGTGTATTTCAGTATCCAATTGTTGATGTAGATGATTGAGGAATTGGATCCTAATTAATTACATGTGTAAATGGTGATTTAAAAAGGAGATAGAACATACTACTTAGGTGGGATTTAATTTCTAGAAGAAAATTCAATAAAGAAAGAAAAATTCATTCTCTTGGGCTACACTATACATTTGCGAATGTGTATGTAATTATTGTTTTAGTTTATCTTTGCCTAAATATAGTTTGAGGGGTGGCACAAGAATTTGCCCGACGGGGGCCGAGGTTCCCTATTAGGGGATATGAATAATAATGATAATAATAATAATAATAATAATAATAATAATAATAATAATAATAATAATAATAATAATAATATAGGCCTACCTAGTAAAAATTAGTTAATTTCCATTTTAATGCCAAATTGGCATTCCATACAATAACGCCAAAAGTCAAGCGGCACAGTACAAAAGTCAAGTGGCGCAGTGCAAACTCAAAATGCGTGTGCCACCATATTAGTTTTGCACTGCGCCACTTTAGTTTTGCACTGTGCCGCTTGACTTTTGCACTGCGGTTGTAGTTTGTCCTTTTGGCGTGATATCGTGAAAAGGACAGACTACAATCGCAGTGCAAATGTCAAGTGGCACAGTGCAAAAGTCAAGTGGCGCAGTGCAAAACTAAAGTGGTGGCACACGCATTTTGAGTTTGCACTGTACCACTTTAGTTTTGCACTGCACCACTTTAGTTTTGAACTGCACCACTTTAGTTTTGCACTGCACCACTTTAGTTTTGCACTGCGCCACTTGACTTTTGCACTACGCCACTTGTAATTTGTCCTTTTGGCGTTCCATACAAGCGTGCTCATGGTAAATGCGTGTAACAAAACTACTCTGGAAGTAAATTTCAACTTATCCCATTTTGTTTACTTGCTACTATTGTATAACCGGCCCACGTACACACAGCGCGGCACGGTGGAACGATAATGTAGCTCAATAACTTATAATGGCTGGTTTAAAATCTGTACGTAAGCTAGTTTATTCAAGTTTATTTCTCCGAATAATGGTAAATCTACAAATCGATCGCGTAGCTATGCTACTAAATTTAGATTTCATCGTTCATGTGTGAGGAGGCGAAGAAGAGCTGCAACCACGCCTTTGCCGTAACCTATTGAATTTCGCGCTGGGCTGTGGACAAAACTTTTGGAAAAACAAGCATCATAACAGACCCAGCATAATTATGTTTTTTGGCATAATTTAGACCCATTTGCATCTAGCATGTGTGCTGGCGTAATTTTAGAAAAATTTAGCATAATTTAGCACAATTTTGACCTCAGAAGAAAAAATAAACTTTAAATCTGAACTAAACCAGCCGTCAATAACCGTGGATACCACATCATAAAAATGAATTTGTCAATGATTGAGTATCCAATAAATCCTATGCTGCGCACACTGCAGCTGCCTTTCTGTGGTTTTATTTGTTTCCTATTGCTATACACGTCTCACATTGTTCTCAGTCGGATTACTACCTCAACTGTATTTTGCAATATTTTATCTTGTTTGATTTAATCAATAGCCAAGTGTTTTTATAGATTGTTTTATTTAATAAAAGTGGGATAAGTTAACCATGGTACATTCCTGACTTATTTGTCATCTAAGTTCTGGTACCATAAGGAAACAGGTTGCTGTCCTTAGTTGACCTTATGCTGAATATAGTATAGAGTAAGGTTTACAAGTGAAATATAAAAGATTATACAAATTCAATATTGCGGTTTAAATACAAACAATAGAGACGCTACATACTCAATCCTGTCCAGTCCTGTCCTCGCTGGAGGCGAAATCCTTAAAATTTCAAGAATTTAAAGTCTTTAAAAGACAGCTCTGAAGTCGGGAGCTAATTTCCTGCACTCAGGGGTCGAATTTTTCAAAATTTTCCCGTCGGAGGACCCCCGGACCCTCCTTTTTTTCTTTGGGGTTCATCATGTTCATGAAAAGAAGAATACGTATGCAAATAAATTTTTTATGTACATATATATAAAAATAAATAGGCCTATTTACAGTAATAAGAGTGAGAAATTTTGGTTTAACTGACCGTTTTCAAGAGGGGAAAACCTTGAATTTTGAAGAACTTAAAAGTCATTAAAAGACACCTCAGAAGTCTGGAAAGCTCATTTCCACCCATCTAGGAATCAGAATTTTCAAAAGGGAGGACCTCCTTTCTTTTTGGAGTTTTTATGGAAAATATTTAACACCCCCCCCCCCTTCCGCCCGTGTTTATAAACTCTATCTTTAAGGTGCTTATTGCATTTGTAGGTTTCAAATTTTTGCTTGTTCAAAGCTATGAATAGAACAATGTCAAAAACAAAATGTTAAGTAGGCCTACCGGCCTATCACACTAAACGTTGACTTATTATAAAAGTTTTAGTCAATACTGTGTTTAAATTTTATTATTTTATTATTCTATTACTGTGGCAATCTGTAATAAAACTTTATATGGTTCAAATATCACAATTTCCAAAAAATAAATGGTAATCTGAGCAAGATAGACATTGTGTTTTAAAGACCAAAGGTGCTAAATATATAGTACAATATTTTACTTTTCATAATCTCAAATTATGATACTGTAATGCCTATCTGTGTTTCACTACAGTGCAAACCGTACATGTTCCATATATATCAGCTCAAAAAAAAAAAAAAAAAAAAAAATGTCATTTGTTTTGCTAATCTTTAATTCGTTACTGCCTCTTCTATTTAAAGTTTGTCGCTTTTGTCGTTGCTGTGTACTTACCTCCCATACCATCCTTTATTTCAGGAAGGTTTTTGAGGGGTAGTTATTTGAGGATGTATATTTTAAATGTTTGTGTATACAATTGCAATACTAAATAAATCACCCTTCATTGGAAATAGCCTACACAGTATGCCACCAAAGCACACAGATCCGGGTTATAACAATTAATTAAATTCTTACTGAAGAAAAAATAGTATTAAAAATGGTTTAGTTTGCATTTTTGAAAAGGGGCTTATTCGAAATTGGAATATGTGGGGGCGCTTATTCAAAATTGAACATTTGGAGGGGGCCCTTATTTGAAAATTTAACATTTGGCATAATTTCCCATCAGCCTCGGCATAATTTGATTTGTATCACTGGTCACCCTGCAATTAAGGTTAATTTATCATCGCCTCCGGCTCCATGGTCATTCCATACACGGTATTCTACCCAGCAATTTGGTGGTCAAAATTGTCGCGGATAATCCAGATGGTAAGGTAATTAGACTAGTGTCCGAGCGGTTTTAGAAAGTGTGTACCGGTGAATTAACTGGTAAATCGCACGGATATTTTTTCGCTCGAACGGGCCCTAGGAGTATAGGTCCGTTTTGCCAAATTATACCCGTCGATAAGAAGCCTACCTATATTCTATAGTAGAATTGATTGGTCTTGTCCAGCTATTGTTTGTTTAGCCGAAACCCAAGTGATTTCTTGATAGCCTTTTGCAAACCTTAATACTGTACATAATAAGCAGTCTCTGCATGCATGATGAAAGGGAAGGTTTTGCTTGATTTCGTTCCCTTTATCATCAAAATCCTTTGGAAGGAGTCTAAGGGTTTGGTCCGTCGCTATACCTTACCTTCACCGACAGGTATTGCACGTACTCTTCCTGTGTGACCCTAATTTGGGGGTGGGGGAATCTGCCACCGGTCGGACAGGTCTGGACCCCCGTCGTCCGACGTCACGACTAGGTCGTTGGAGAAAAAATCTAAATAATAATAATCTGCCTATCCGAATAACGTTACTTTGATTGAATATTTCTAATACTGTTTAAAAGCACAATTTATACCATACTAGAGATTTTTTTTCTTATTCCGGGATGTCGACCGAGGCTCTAATCGGCCCCGTTTTCGGACCAAAATTTCTGGCGCCACCGCCTACTGCTAATTGTTTTCCATCCCTCCCCCCCCCCAAATAAAAGCCTGATAGATATTCTCTACGTTTGCTGGATCAATAACGACCAGGCCTGGCGGTTGACGTTCCACCTTGGGCAGCAGGGTTGCCATTTGTCCGTTTTGACGGCCTGATTCCTCAACTCTGGCCGTATAGAAATTTGCGGTTCTCTTGGATGTAGGGTCCAGGGGACAAGCCCGGTGGGGTCAGATGGCTAGAAAGAGTCTCACGGATTTGTCATATGAAGATTTGATAACAGGCCAAATAAAATGATCGAATACAATGTACGAATATTTAGGGAATAATAATAAATTTAAAAAATCAATCTTTTAAGGGTTAAGATGTGCTACCACTATGATCAATCTTAACAATGTGATTTTAAATAGGCCTATCGTGCCGCAACTAATTAAAGAGCATACTAGGGCCTATTATGATGTTTGGGCATTTAATTCGTGGGGATCAATTAATTATAAGAACAATAGGCAATGAAAGATTAACTTTGTTCTCTGTATATCATTCAGTTTCAAACAAATAACCAATGATTTTTGTATTTTAATTGAATATAACCCATTGTTATCTACTAATCCGATTAAAATCCGGCCGAATTTTGGCTAATAAAAAAAAAAAATATTTATGAATAAAAGTATCATGTAGCCATAGGCCTACTCTCATATTTAAAGGTATTGAGTAATTTCTAGAGACTATAGAGATGAAGGTGTACGTGGACATAAGTTCAATTCAATGCATTTGGTGTTTGTTACAAAACTAAAACTGATTATTATTGGATAATGGGAAAAAAATCAATATGGGCCATATTGTGACATAGAAAAAATAGCTCAAATATGCATAATAAACCACGCTTCGTTTCGTTCACGCCTCACTTCGGTCACGTTTCAAATGTCCACCCCATTATTCTACCAGGACGGCATAAGCCAGATTAGGATTATATAACCCTCGCATATTGCATTTTACAAGGACAGTCACCAGTCCTATATATATGAATATGATGACAGTAGAATAATGGGGTGAAATGTCAGTCTTGTACTCTAAAAAATATCAATGAAGAAAACTTGCTTCACCCACAAAACAAATGCGTGACCCTAGTCTGCAATAGGCCAAGTAATTTCCTACCCCTCGTCATTCTTTGGCGTCTAAGCCAGTTCCCCCTACCAGGAACGTAGCCATAGATTTTCAAAGGGGGAGCCGTTGCGGGGTGGGGGTAGGACTGTCCTCCACTCTACTCCAAGGACCCCCGGTGGGTCCAAGGGGCAAAGACCCCTGGTGAGGGTCCGGGGCGAAGCTTGTAGGTAGCGCATTCTGGACGTTTTAGGACTGTTTTAAAGGTTTGAAGTGAAAATTGCAATAGACACATCTTATTGAATTTTAGTAGGCCTAAAAAAATCTGTTTCATAATTAAGCGCCAACAAATTTCTCATGACCTGTTGTCAGGGATTTTCGGCAAACATAGGTAACCCAGGTCTAACTATCGCTTACTAAGCTTTAACTGCAATAATAATTATAATAATGATTGGACAAATCAAATTTCTCTTTCGTTTTCAGCACAATTTTCTTCACTTTTTAATATTATCAATATTATTACCGTATCTATTATCATTATCATTACTACTATTAGTAGTATTATTAAACAAAAATGTATAAAAGTTTGCAAAAGGATAAAAACAAAACTGAACCATACATTATCACTTTTCTGTATCCTAAAAGACCTGGCTTGGGATTTATGGATTTAAAACGCATTTAAGTTGATTTTTTTGTTAAGTAAGTTTGATGACTCCACCCCCTGAGCGGTAAAGCCGTTATATAATCCCAAAAATGTTATTTTTTTTACATCATGGTTTATTCTAATGAATATTCCACTGAATTACTATAGGTAGAAGGGAACGTTTATCAATAGACGTTTATTGTGGATTTCTATCGGAGCACGGGTCACAAACATGATGATATAGTAGAAGGAGTCAATTAGAAATTGTACATGCTTTTAAATCATCACCAAACTACGTATTTTTGGGGGGTTTTTTTTGGTATGTCTAATTTGCGTATAAACAATTCACGCTTGCCAATGTGTTATAATTATAGTAGGCCTATTATGTATAACGTGTATTGATGCATAGGCCTATTTACACATTTTAGAAAGTAATTCATTTTGAGTGATCCCAGGAAAGAATTTGTATTGGCTAGCATAAACAAGCTTTAAAATACTAACACAGTGTACAAAGGATGCGGGACAGGGACTATCCCCTGGATACGTCCTTTCCCCCTACAACTATGACAACAATGCAAGGGAAAAGGCTGTAGGCCCTATACAATAAGTTTCCAGACACTACCTAGCCGAGGCTAGGCCAGGCCCCTAGGTCTCTTATGACTAACAGTATATATAACATATTCAATTGCCAACTATTAATTGTATAATTAATTATTGAAATGATTGTGTGGATAAAATTATTATAGATAATAAACTTATAATTTAAAATATATATGTATATAATATATATATATTTAATAACTAGATATAATTGTAATTAATTGTAATAATTAGTAGACCAAAGTCTATGTTAACAGTTATCTTTTTTTGTTTCTTATGACCAATAACAATAATGTTATCTACCGATCAAAACATCCATTCAACAGATTTTCGACGGTGGTAGTGCCGATAAAATAACTGAAGTTTTTTTGCCCTGCGGCAATGCCGATAGAAAACAGTTTTTTTTTTAGCTCTGTGGCAGTGCAGATAAAAAAACAGACTTAGAAAACCGCTAGGAAAGTAGATGCGCATAATTATTGCATAATACACTTGGGCCAATACCGGTACCTAATTTTCAACAAAAACTGCGCAAAAAGCAACCTTTATTTTCCGAAGCATGTGGGCGAATTGCCAGGTTCAATTTATGCAGGCCTTATTTTACAGTCGGGAATATGGGCAAGAAATCCTTGGTAGGCCTAGGGGCTGGCCGTACCGTAAAATATTTTAATTGCGAAGGAGGATACATCTAAAACATAAGGAGATAATCTCCATATTATTCAGAATTTTGCATTATGTTATTATGTTCATATAAATATGTATTAATATAAAATTCATTTATATAATTCTTGTTTAAAATTTCATTATTTGACCTAATGTTGAGATAATAATAATAATAGTAAGAATAATAAAATGTTTTTAATGGCTATAGACAATTATTATTCTAGTATTACAATTTACACTTAATGTTTTCAATCGAAATTAACACACATTTAAATATAAATTTTGCATTCCTTCTAATTATGTTTTTATTTAATGAATGTATGTATTTTATTTCAGTGAATATTCTGTAAAAGTCTAATCATTGCAAAATGCACTTCTGAAGATATCAGCAAACCCGTAGACCAGTAGATAATGTTGCTTTCTCGTTTTGTGCTCGTTAATTTTTGCTGAATGGTGAGTCATAAACATGTTTTTATTATAAATTTCATGTCCATTGTAAAATGCTTTGTTGGATAACGTTAAGAATAAACATTTTAATTTCAATATTAGAACACAAAAACTATTGTATTCCCTAATTAAATTATCTTAAAATAAATTAAAATAGATTATAAAAGTTTTCATAAAATAAGGTTTTAATTGAAAATTAATATAATTAACAGGGTAATACAATTGCAGAGATCAAAATAATAAAATTATTTCATTCATGTCAGTAATATAAATAAATGTATTAAATTCCAAATGACAATTACAATTTTGTAAAAAATATTCTGATAAAATAATAAAGATAGAAATAAAGATTAATTATATATGCATATTTATTATATAATAAAAACACATTGTAACAATATTGTAGTAAATTGTATAATCTTAATAATATAAATATTTTTATAAAGAGAGTTGTTAATTGAATCCCGTCACAAGACCCACACACTTCAGACTGCTGTACACTGGCTAAGTCTCATTATGAGGCTTAGGGAGTGGAGTTGTTTCGGTCATGAGACCAAATCCTGTTACTGTGACATGAAGGCAAGCATCTTAACTCCACTCCTATACTCAATAGGGTTTAAACTTACCGTCTCGGATAGGTTCAGTTCAATTATCTAATATGATTAATAATTAATTGTTACTTAAAGTACATATTATATTAGTACTGTATTATTTCAATAGAAAAATAAATTTAAATAAATTTAAATTTAAATTGATTTTTTTTTCAATCCTACTACCTATTTCCAACATTATATTTTTACAATGGACTTATTAATTGCTGTATTCCTTTTCATTGATGTTTGTAACTTATTCTTTCTTTCCCATAAATATAATGAATTTCTTTTACTATTGCAGTGGACTTATTAATTGCTGTATTCTTTTTCATTGATGTTTGTAACTTATTCTTTCTTTCCCCAATAAAGATTGTCTTAATTATTATTCCCTCTGCATTGAACTTCCAATCTGCATTGAACTTCCAAGACTTATTCTTTCCCTCTCCAATAGTCTACTTTACTTTTTAATGTATTCCTTTTACTTTTAATATTTCAGGGAACCAGTGGTCTCATCCTGTGCTGCTCTATTTCTATGTTGCTTTTATTGGTTTTGGGATTGTCTTTCTAGATAATTGCATGGTTCTAGTATTTAAAATATTCATTGTATTTCATTTAGTATTTGAAAAAATAAATATTCATTGTATAATTGGCTTTTTAAATAATTGCATGATTCTAGTATTGAAAAATAAATTCATTGTATTTCATTTAGTATGGAATGAATAAATATTGGAAATGCGTTTCATTGTATTCAAGCTTGTTTGTCTTCGTGTGTATTGGATCATCCAGTATTCGATAGGCAGTGTACAAAAAAAAAAAAGAAGCGCCCTCTAATAGAAAAAGGCCCATAATATGACTAAGTTTTTTGGCCACTTTAGTCTGTGAAGTTCGGTAAAAATAGTGAAGAAAAGCGCCCTCAAATAGCCTTTTCCCCCTAAGTTCTTTAGGGTCTCTTAATAATTGTCAATGGAAGAGAAATGCACTCTCCAAAATCCAAATTTTTCAGAACTCCACAAACAATTGTAGAACACTGAAAAACTGGCTATTAGAGGGCGCATTTTAACCATCCTTGTAATAGAAACAGACAATTAAAGAGACACTGAAAAACGTAGAAATAAAATGGCTAGAGAGGGCGCTTTCCAGCACCACAGGGAACCCCTTTAAACAGAAATTTAGAGACCCTGGAAATTTTGTTTTTCTATTAGAGGGCACTCTTCAGCACCACATTAATACAAATTGAGGGGAAATGTTCTAGTCCTTTTTCTTTTACAGGGCGCTTCTTTCGTCTTACCTGCTTATCCAGCCTTCAGACACGACCAGCAAAGAAATACATCAACACATTACTTATATTTTTTATTATAAAATCTACCAAAATCATAACATATGAATTTATATAAAAGGTACATAAAATATATGAACAATTAATTATAAGAAATTATTTCTCTTGGTGCTGCAATAACTTGTCAATAATATTAAACTTATTAAATTCCTTCGATATTCAAATACAATCGCTGAATGTTTTCTTTCACCATGATTAAGATTCAGCAAGATGTTGAACTAAACTCCAGTATATCTTCTCTTAATTGTCTTGCAAACTATTAGACATAATCAATTAAATTAACTGTAAGTTAAAATGCTTGACACGGCTTATATTCGAAAAATGAATTATAGTAGTTTTGGTTCCTCATATTATCGTAATTCGATCATAACTTCTGTACAATATGATCAATATTTCAGAATGATGCAACTTGTCTTGATCACAGGTAACTTGTTATTAAAGAAACAATAATTGTTTATGTTTTTTCACCGAGATTACTCTTTCGAACTAAATTTACGTGTACTTTTCTTGTCTTGCAACATTGTTCTATGCTCTGTTGCTGCATCTGCAAAAATAAAATTTAATAAAGAATTAGAAACACCAGATAAAGAGAAACAATTTTTATTAGTTGAAGGAACGAAGAAATAAGATTAGACTTAGAAATTATAATTTCATAAGGTCATTATATACTTACAGTGCCATTGATTCTTTGATAGGCCTACATATATCTTGCAGTAGAGATGTGTCTTTCTTCTGCAACAAACAAATTACAGTGACTGTATACATGGTTGTAAATTAAGATGAAAATAAGAAGCAAATTTAATAGTGGTAGAATAAATTAATTGAAGAGACCAAAAGAAAACATACTAAGGTGTGGCGCGAACAAGAACAGCAAGAAAGGGGAAATAATAAAGAAGCATGAAGTGAAAAAGGATAAACCAAACGTGAGAAAATATAGACCAAATATACAAATATGAGAAAGAGAATGGAAGGTGGAGAATGAGGAACAGCAGATAAAACGAAACAAAAGTCTTAAGCTGTAAAAGATGTAATTTCAGAGAGATAATATAGCTGGACTAGAGGGTGCATCTTTCATGCTTCCTTGACAAATATTTTTCGGTAGATTAAAAAAATCAATGAAAATCAACTTAATTTTTGTTCTTTCCCTACACGCAGAATTTATAGATTCTCACGCCCATTCTGTCACCAATTTGTAAGCTAACACTAATGTGTTTCAAAATTCATACCAAGGACCTAACCGTGGTGTTAATTATACAACAATGGCTGCTACCAAGCTTTAGGTCGTGGAATTGTTTTCCTTTAAAACAATTGTTTATGAATAATGAATGAGTAAAATCATAATTTATATATGACTTTCGGCACTTCAGTTATTTATAAATAATGTTTTGCTACTTTAAATACTACATGTATCCATAACTAACAGGGTTTTGGAAATCAGATCAGGACCGAAAAGAGACGGCGAGGCAAGACAATAAGATTAAAAATCATGTAGTGTGATTGGTGAATAACTTTTTTTTATTTTATTTTCACCGACGAAGCGGTTTATAGGGGATTTTAGCCTCAAAACTAGAAAGCCCAACGACATAGCGGTTTCAATGATACGTAAGTAAATTTTTAACATTCTTTTCTTGAAATGTTTACTTATGTTAATGTTTTGTTGAGCAAATTATAATTTAAAAAAAAGTAAATTTTTAAATCATCCGCCAACACAACATCTCAAGACTAACTTTTCACGGCGGCCTCTTCTTTGATGTAAAGAAAATTGATACATCGGTTTTAAAATGACGCCGTACGAAGCAGATAAATTTTTCAAAAGCAGTCAATGTAAGTTGTACAACATTTTTGTAACAATTATTTAAAGTCAACACACGCTCTTCAAGGCTATCAAGACTAAAGCCGATAGTTCTATTTTACTTCTTGGACTCTTGCTTTCCGGCGATGTCTATCCATGCCCAGGCCCTATAAAATCAAAAACACCTAATTAATGTCCATGCATAGTTTTTTTTCTAAAGGTGCCATATCGTGTGATAAATGTTAGGCTGGACACACATAAAATGTATCAATTTGACGTTAAAAAAGTACACTGAACTATGTAATACAGGCGAGGAATTACAACTGTAAACAATGTTTATTTTCACATCTACCATTTAGCAATGTTGATATCATCAATTCTAATTATACTGATATTGATAATCAATCCATACCTGAAGTTGTCGCTCATCCTCCTAGTGATCCCGATACTTTAGCAGATACCAACACTAGAATTCTTCCCCCAAAAAATCGAGAAAATTCGTGTTATTGCAATGAAAACTAGATCTTTCATCACAATCACAATCAGCGAATGAATTCAGTAAATCTGTTTAACAAAGGAATAGGCATATAAAACTAATTAATAGAAAGACAGAATTACGGAAACTACTGGGGGAGAAGTTTTTTCCCATATATACCGTACGCAATGATCTTAACTATATCAGGAGAGACAATCTTCATAGTGAGTCTTTATGGATTGACATAATTACTACCCAAAACAAAGCCTATATTAATTTAGTATATGTTACAGACCACATAAGCAACGATTGTACTTCAACTCACTCATTGGTTTCAAAATTCTATAAATTATTTAGTCTTGCTGACCTCAATAATGACCCAACACGTATTAATACATTTACAATAATTGATCTTAATCTGACCCTAATGATATTAACCAAACTGGTGTTATACCATATGGTGTCAGTGATCACTTACTACAACATATTGCATTCAATGAAAAATTATACCTCCGATTTATTTATATATATCTTACTTACTGATATAAATTTGTCTGATTTTTAAAATGCACTAATATATACTCAGCATAGGCTAGGACAGCTTTAAGGTTAAGGTTAATTGTCGTTGATGATGTTGCTTCTCTCAAGAACGTTAGGATTAAGCAGCGTTCTAAACCATGTTTTTATAGTGTAATGAAACCTTATTAAACGAGATCATTGTTTAGCTAACTTAAAAAAACCACACATCAACAGGTAATTACTGAATTTAAGAAATGAATAAACACTATTAATTATAAAATCAATATAGCAAATAAATTTAATGAAAATAAAAAATGCCGAAAAAGCTATGGAATGTTTTCAAACATTTTAAAAATATTAACAAGGGTGTTGGTTTAGACTTCATACCTGCAAAATTCATTGAAGGTGGAGCGATGGCTATTGCCCAACCACTGAAAAATATTATAAACATTTCAATTATCACCGGCTGTGTTCATTCTGATTGGAAATCTGTAAAAGTTATACCGACACAAAAAAGGAAAAACAGATTACATGCACAAAATTATATACCAACAGTTTCTAAAGTTACTGAACGTGTCATGTATAACCATATAATGAGCTACTTAATCAACAAGTTTCTTTTTTATGCATTCCAGTCAAGTTTCAGACCCTCTTTTTCTACAGAAACGTGTTTAATACTTCTATCTGATTCTGTTGGAAAAGGATGGGATATTGTAGATATGACTGGAATGTTTGTTATTGATGTTCAAATCCACAATAACATTCATTCAATCAAACCAATCAATCAGTAATAACAATATAACAAATCAATCATTGATTCAGTGTAACAATATAAAAAACAATCAAGGATTAATTAAAAGTACAGTTTAAATAAACAGAAATGGATAATCAAATAAATTACTAACAGCAAAACAATATAGTTTCATCAATACGAAAATTGAAAAATGAGTTTGAATTTCATTCAGATTATTTCTAGAAGTTTTGAAGAAACTTGTCTGACATAACCCTAAACAACACACAAACAATAGTAAAAAAATAGAAATAATAAAGAATACAAAGTAATGATGGTAATAATAATAAAAGAAAAAAGAATATAACAAATAAATAAATAAGATAACTAAATTAAAAAAATATCAAATATAAATATTATAATAAAAGTAATAGTAATAATAATAATAATATAATAACAAAAATATAATAATGATAACATTAATAATATTAATAATAATAATAATAATAATAATAATAATAATAATAATAATAAGACAGTGACATCATCAAAAACGGTAATAAGAGAATTAAAAAATGAAGTAGTACACAATCAGTAGAGGCAATGGGATGGGAAATTAATCAAAACAAGCACTAACACAGATCAGCAGATTCTATAGTGAACGATATAAAAATAACAGGAGGATTAAAACAACATTCACGTACCGGTGGGTCGATAAAACATGGAAATAAGCAAGATAAGTAAGAGTTAAATAACTTTATAATTTGACACAATGCAATATTTCATTTCTTTACTAAAGGACTTAATGTTCATACCCTTTTTAATAGAATCATCAATAGAATTCCAAATCGTAAGACCATATACATAAAAGGTACTTTTATTTAATCATTTAATTCCTCCATGATTTAATCGTCAATGGTTAGTAGATGAGTTGGATAATCACTTGCCAAAATAATATTACTTACTTAAGCCTTGTTAAACCTGACAGTGCATAGGCCATCAACTACAAATCTCCATCTCACACGGTTCTGGGAAATTCCTTCCACCTCCGACCAGTTGTATCCAGCACTTATCACTTATATTTCTAGTTCTCTCCTCCATGTGTTCCTTGATCGTCCTCTTTCTTTTTCCTTGTGGATTCAATGCAAAGAATATAGAAAAACGATACTTAGTTCATTTTGTCATTCTTATTGTATTTTTTGTACTGTTCCGTTTAAGTTTACTA